TCCTTCTATACATGTAAATAACATGACATCACTTTAAGCGACAATCTCTGGTGCCTAAAAAAATAGTTTGTATTTCAAAAGTGTTAACAGTTAATAACAATAATAATGATAATCACAATAATAAATCATATATAATAAACAATGAATAATGAATAAAAATAAAAACAAAAATGACAGTAAAAATAAAAATAAAAAAACTTCTTTTTACCTATTCAACTTTTCTTTAGCGATAAATGAATTGAAATTATTTGATATCTCATCACCTGGAATAAAAATTGAAAAAACATTGCCGAACAGAAACTACCTTAAAATGAAGTCAAATACGCACAGAAGTAGAGGTGAAAAATTTTCAGGAGCTATTATACAGAAAACGAAGTCAATAACTAGTAAAAATAGTTTTTCAATTTTTTGCCGATAAATTGTTAAAAAGAACGACAAAGCGCAGTATGAATTTCCTATGCAATTTTAAGGGCAACTGACATTTAACCCTCCAATCATATCTTATAAGTGTGCTTATGATTGGAACCTTGCTGTCAGACTCCTACTTCGACCAGCGAAATAACTATCACAGAAGTGGCTACATAGATCCTAAAACAAACAAATCTTGATATGAAACGAAAACAGATTTAAACTCAGTTAGCGCAAATCTATTCGCCCAAAAAATGGTATTCTTCTTCAAATGATTGACGAGGCTATCAAAGTGATATGCAGAGATTTGAACCTGATAATGTTTCTACTTAAGGTAACCCCTGCACCATGTAACAAGTTCAAAATTAGAGACTGATATTAGGATCAAGTTTAAAACAAGCTCGAGGTTACTGGCTTATTCAGAACATACTCACGGAACATTGAAAAGCTATTAAGAACCACTCAAATGTTACTTACAACTACAAACCTGACAAAAAGGAATGCCTTGTGAGAACGCAGAATACAAGCATTTAAACACTAAAGGACCTGAAGAATGCTACTCGTACCCAACCTCCTTCGAATGTAAATATATATATTGAAGAATTTATTATATTGAAGAGTTTATTCAAAATTTGGTGCGGTAATTTTTGCAGCGCGAAAACTGCCACTTTGGAGCATACCCAACTTTGCTGGCACAATGCCACTGCATTATCCGATAGTTTTACGAGCTATCCTTGTGAAAATATGTCAAACTAGGGATAAATTTATTAGTACAACTTCCTCTTGGGGTCTTCAAAGTAAATGAAAGTTTTAGAGTTGGGAAAATGTTGGGACGGATAGTACAGGATAACTCGTTTCAAGAGTGTCTTAATTTTCGAAGACCACGACTGAGTGTGCTTTCGCGTCCGCTGCAAATTCTACTTCCTCATCTCAAACGACTTGTACAGCTTTTGTTTTTCTGCAGCAGCGTTACCAGCCCGTGAAATAGCCATAACATATATTCTCTGTAGAAAGTTCTGCTTAAGCTGTTTGTTAGTGAGTTGGATGTAAAAAGTGTGATTAACTTGGGATGGTTCTAAAAAGTGTTATGATGGTGTTACCAGTCTTCCTAATCTTTTTAATCGTTAATCTAGTTTCATTTCTTAAATGCAAGGATTTTTCGATCGCACTTATTTCACCTGCAGTAGTTTCAGAATTGCCTGTACGCTTTTCGTGAACTTTCTGGCCGTTTAGTGTTAAGCTTACGTTCCATTTATTACGACATTGTAAAATGCTTTCTTTTTTGTTGGCAAGTAGTGCAACAGGTAGTGACAGCACTTCAAAATTATGATCATTAATATCTAGAAGGTTCAGATTTATACGCTATACAGCCATACTCTCCTTCCAAGGCCTTCGCATTTTTTGGCCGTCTTCTGAATCGTATGGGACTGTAGGCACTGTTGCAATAGCAAAACTGAATTCAGGACAACAAGGAACATCCTCTAAGAAAATGATTCCGATTTCATGTAAGCGTAAAATTAAGTCATTGTTCAATAAACTACACATTGACGACGGGGATCACACGTTATGAAGTGCCATAAGGATTAAATTATGAAACTTTGTCATTAGGTTGTTAGAAAGTTATAAAGAAGTAAAGAGCAAGTCTGGAAAAGTCAGGAACGAATTAGCAGAGTTGAAAATCGTATACAAAAGGATGAAGTTAAATTGGAGGTAAGAAGAAGAATGTTCAAGGTTAAGCACGTTTGGTCGGAGTAGTTGTGTTCTTTTTTGCTGAAGGCAACATTCTTTGTACGTTGCTCTTGGGTGTTTGATACTTCAGTATCCGTCTCTTTGGTGTTTTTTAATTATAGGTTTCTTGTTTTTTTATTTAATTTTTGTTGTTTTGATTTTACTTAAAAAAACATTACCTCAGTACCAACAAAAATAATAAAACCCAACTTAAAACCACGATCAACCAAAACATTAGTGTATGCGATTAATCAAACAATTTGTCCAGTGCGTAATTAAAAGTGTAGTAAACAAATAGTTAAGCTAACAAGTTGCTGACAAGTTCTTTAAGAATAATTAATTTGTTTGCATGTACCTTTTGTATGTAATTAATTTGTTTATAGTAAGATCTAACTTAGGGAATAGTATGAAAGAGAAGTAGAAGAACTTTGAAGAGTTATTCTTGTTACTCTTTGTATTCTAATCCCCATTCTTAGTCATATTTTTCTCCTTCTTTTGGCTTACTCAAATTCTTAATAAACTATTCTACCCGCGTAATTGGATCAACTGAAATCGCGTGGCAGGCGACTGTTCATGAAACTCAG